TAGTTCAGTGCTGAACAGGGTCTGGATCTGTCATGGCACGTTTAAGAGAAGTCGGACTGAAAGCATTTATATTTTTATATATATTTTTTATATATTTTTAATATTTTCTCACCTCCTATCATTAAGCAAACAACTTGACTTTTCTATAAAAAGAAGGAAAAATTGAATACAGTTTTTTTTTCTTGTATGCGACAGATGTGCTACACATATGTTACGAATGACAAATTTGGTGAAGAAATATATATATATATATATGTGTGTGTTAAATCAGAGTAAAAGGATGCAAGAGGAATTAAGAAAATCGAACACCAGTAATTGATTCTGTTTTAAATAAAATACTTAAAAAGACTGATTTAGTGTGAATGGAAAAAGAAACATTAAAAAAAAAAAAAATTATAAATAATAATAATCAGTTTTTTTCAATTCCAAATAATTTGGTGAAGAAATATATATATATATATGTGTGTGTTAAATCAGAGTAAAAGGATGCAAGAGGAATTAAGAAAATTGAACACCAGTAATTGATTCTGTTTTAAATAAAATACTTAAAAAGACTGATTTAGTGTGAATGGAAAAAGAAACATTAAAAAAAAAAAAAATTATAAATAATAATAATCAGTTTTTTTCAATTCCAAATATTTCATATAGCATTTATATGACTAAATACAACTATATAAAAAAGTATTTACTTTAAAATATTTTAAAAATCAAAACTTTTATTTTTATGTTTTTCGTTTTCATTTTTTTTAGTTCTAACAGTTAAAATTAACCATTTTAATTGTATGTGTAGTTTTTACACATTTTTTGTAATTTTTTAAATATTTCAATTAGCTTTCAAAGTTTTAGTTATTTTAGTACAATACTTCGACTAAAAAGGAAATTTGAAATATTGTCTTGGCAAAAAAAGAAAAGAACAAAATAAATAAATAAATAAATAATTTTTTTTTAGGTCATAATTTTTTTTTAATCTAATATTTATATATTTTTCAGCTTTATTTCAATAACCAAAAAAGTTAAATTTTTAAAAAAGTTTTCATTAACAATAGCAACACTGAAAAGAATATATTATGAGACACTATATTTTCTTCCTATTTCAAGCTTGTTTCCGGGTTCCTGTCTTACCCGGCAGCTTTATCCCAGTCGTCCTCACTGAATCCCCCGTCACTGAAGGGGTAGTTTTTGCGGCGGGTTGGAGGAGACGTGCTGTTCCTCTGCTTGGTGTTACGCCATTCGTGAGGGTGTAACGCAATCCCAGCAGCCTGATGGATGTAGGCACCTTTGGAGGAGGATCAGGTCATGTTTCACTGAGGCTGTCAATAGATGACCAACACAGAGATTTATCGTGAGATGAGTAACGCTCACCTTGGCTGCTGTATCCGGCATCGATTCCTGAGCCGTCCCATGACTCCATGGCCGAATCCACGCTGGGGATGGTGGTGGAATAAAGGTCCAACAGTTTATTGGTCTTCTGTGAGTCGGTCATCTCATCCTCATTATCACTGAACTCGTTATCCAGATCGTTCTCTTTATTTTTATCATCTGGTGCTGAAGGGGGAATGACAATTATCAGATGATCAAATATCATGTTAACAGAATAACAACAGGTTTATGTGTGAACAGATTTATAATGTTTAAACGCGTGTATTTTATGTAAATAAAAAAGCAGATACTTTGTATAAAATGTTAAATGCCTTGATTTCATTGTTAGAAAGCTGCAACATACAGATAATTTATGCAATAAGCCAGTATTTAGGTGACAAGTCAATGATTCTTATTTATTATGAGTAACTAAAACATACTTATTATGATTAATTAAACACTTCGATAATTTGATAAACTACTTTATTAGTGAAAACATTTTGCCCCAATTAACTGTAATAAATATTATTAAATAGCAATGTAAAGAAAATGATATTTAATGAAATGTATTATAATTAATTGGAGAAAAGTTTTAATAGAGTAGCTTATCAAATTATCAAAGTAGTCAGAAGATGCCAAAATGGGGGAGAAACATATTATATTATATTATATTATATTATATTATATTATATTATATTATATTATATTATATTATATTATATTATATTATATTATATTATATTATATTATATTATATTATATTATATTATATTATATTATATTATATTATATTATATTATATTATATTATATTATATTATATTATATTATATTATATTATATTATATTATATTATATTATTATACATAAATTATATATATTAGGAGCATGAATTGCATACAATCCATTGTTGTTGCAATCTTACTGTCAGTTTGTTTGTTTGTTTATTTATTTATTATAATAATAATAATAATATTAATTATTATTATTACTACTCCTAATTATGAGTAATCAATTAATATTTTTATAACAATAATAATATGGTAATAACATTCACAACAACAATAATAATAA